TTACAATATGGGATGTATATAACATAATAGTTATTCATTCATATGTATAAATGTTCTATACATATACATGCACTTATACCCACACATACAGGATGTGTATAATGTAATAGTTATTCATTAGTAATGTATACAATTGACCCTTGAACACACAGACTTCGTCACACATTTGGATTGATGGCAAACACCTGCATAGGTATTTTGGGCACTCCTGGATTACTAGCATCTAATTGTTAACAACAAATTGAATATATGTACATTTTAAAGTTCATTAGTTAAAATCTCAACTTGGGTTGGAGATCCCCTATTACCTAACTTCTTTAATGACACTTGCTAAATCATCATTTCATATCAATTTCCTTGTTGTATCCAAATATCCTCCAGTCTGGGGTAGGAAAATTTTCCCAGCTGCTTAACTTCAGCCTCTTTTCCTTCCACTTTATTCATTCTGTTACTTATCAGGTAAACAGATTTCTCTCCTTTCCCTCTTCATGTCATACACAGATTTCGATGCCGTTCACCCCACCTAAAGCATCTGTTCCTGTTCCATCTGCAAATCTTCAAGTCCAAGTTCATTCTTATTTTCACCTTTATTCTCTAAAGACTGAGGCCTAGAATTAGTTCTCTCTTCACCCATACAAAGCTCATGGATGGTCACTACTACTCAAATAAGCAGCACCGAATTAGAAAAGATGGCCATGTGGTAGCTAGAGACCAAGGTGGTTTTTTTTGTTTGTTTGTTTGGTTTGGTTTGGTCTCCCAAAGAACCTAGCAGAGTTCTGGTCACATGGTAGATGTTTTAAGTGCCGGTTAATTGATTAATTCACAACAGGGAAACTAAATTATATAAAATGAATTTTCTCTGTGAAGAAAAGCATAGTCTCTATACTCTTGCTATAGTTAATTTTAAGATTATACTGATTAAATGAGCAATATAAAAAATTAGTTTTAGCATATTTAAGTTGCCTATTCTAATAGACATACATTAATATTTGTTATTTTTAGCTACTTTATATAATACAAATTCAGCTTTTATACATCCAAACTTTATAAATTCAGATAGTGTTTTCTAGATTAAATATTAAAAATGCTAAATGACAAATAAAACCTTATTCATTGTAACATCAGTCAGTTGTCTGCTCTCTCTCCTGTATCATCAAGTTTTTTTTCCCTCTATTTGCTGTATCTTTATCACCGGCATAGAAGCATCCTATAATTTTTACAAGTACATACCTTTTAAGGAAGGTTTTCTTGATATTGAAGGTCCTTTAATAACTACTGCAAAGCACCTCAGTGGAATTGTCTGTTCCAGCACTTCTCAAATAAGTAAAAATCATCTGGGACTTGTGTTAAAATTTAAATTCTCTTTCAGAATGTGTATATATATGGCTGCTGCTTTAACAAATTCTCCCAAAAGGTAGTGGCTTAAAACAACATTTATTTGAACATGGCCATGTTGGGATCTTTCACATAGTTGGGATCAAGGTATTGCCCTGGACTACAGTCATCTCTAGGCTTGATTTGGGGGAGAATCTGCTTCCAAGTTTTCTCCTTTGGTTGTTGGCAGGCCCCATCTCTTTACTTGCTATTGACTGAAGACATCATTCCTTTGCTATGTGAGCCTCTCCATAGGGCAGATCTTAACACAGTGGTTTGGTTCAAGACAGAGATGATAGGGATAGAGAGAAGATAAACAAGACAAAGCCACAGTCTTCATGTTCAGTTAATCTCAAAAGTAATCTCTCATCACTTGAGCTTCTGTTCAAGGGTAGAGGGTTCCGTAAGGACATAAATACAAGGAGAGAAGTAGAAGTCATTGGGAGTTCCATCTTAGAGGGTGCCTACCTTAAGAGGTTTGAAGTTGGATCTGAAATTCTACATTTCTAAGGAACTTCTGGGTGATACTAACACTATTCTTCAAGAACTTCAGTGTTAAAGGCAAGGATCTACACTTCCTGCCTCAATTTTTTCTTTTAATCATACTCTGTTGATCACCCTCACTTCAATTAGGCCTTCTCACCCTCCACTCTATTGAAATTGCCCTTTTTGAAGTCACCAATGACTTCCACATTACTAACTCCAGACTTTGGAAAAAAAATCACTCTTTCTGAAAATCTTTCCTTACTTGGCTTCTAGAAAGTCAAATTTAATTTCTCCTCCATTTTTCTGCTAGTTGCCTGACTATAAATCTCCCTGACCATAAATATTAGCATATTCCACAATCCAATCCTTGAACCTATATTTTACCTACAGTTAACTTCTAAATGGTATCATGAGGGTTTATAGTTTTAAATTCCAGATATATGCTGACCAGTCTCAAATTTATGTCTCTGATGTGAATTTCTCCCCTAAAATCCTGACATGTTTACCAAGTGCCTCAACATCTCTGCTCAGATATCTAATAATAATTTCAAACTGAAGATGTCCAAAACAAAAGTATTTACCGCCCCCCACACCATCCCACCTCCTCCTTCCCCACCAGGCCCAACCTTGTCATCTTGCTTCTCATTTACATTTGCAAACCCAACAAATAGTACCACTCAGAAGCTATTCTGTGAAAAACTTGAGAGTCATCCTTGAACCCTCTCTTATAATCATAGAGTTTTTCAGTTCTGCTTCTTTTTATCCCTTGACTCTCCTCATCATTTTCCATCCCAGTATCACCACCCTAGTGCAGACCATTATTATGTGTTGTACAGAGTTTTGGATCTTTTTTTAAAATTATTTATTTATTTGTAAGAGAGATTGAGCGAGAGGGCACTAGCACAAGGCAGAGGGAGGAGCAGGCTCCCCACCGAGCAAGGAGCCCAATGTGGGACTCGATTCCCAGGACCCAGGGATCATGACTCGAGCTGAAGGCAGATGCTTAACCAACTGAGCCATCCAGGCATCCCAAGACTTGTGCATCTTTTTGTTATTGGCTCCAGCTTCCAACCTCTAGGCCAAGTGGTTTTACTCAACCCATTTTTTTCCCCACGTTCCTGGTTTCTTTTATGCTACAGAATGAAGTTTAGATTATTTAATATTGTTTATAACACTAATACATAATCTGACCTCTGATTCCCTCTCCAGTTCCAGTTACCTCTGTTTCCTTACCTGTGCCCTAAACTTCAGTTATATGGGGGCTATGAAGGAACACTCCATTTTGACTGTGGGTCTTCATGAAAATTGTTTTCCTTCCAGGAAAGCTCTTCCTTTTCTTCTTTGTTTGTCTAGCTTTCACTTGATTCAGATTTCAGCTTAAACATAACTTCTTCCTGGAGGCTACCTTTGACCTCTTAGTCTAGGTTTAGGGCACCCACAGGGTAGTGCCTTGTGTTATATACTTCCCTATCTTAATAGTCATTGTATTTTCTTCTAATCCTTGAATTAGCTTTTTTTTTTTTTCCCCCTCCCATTAAGCTGTAAGTTCTGGGAAGGCCAGATCTTACAGAGGTGAATTCAGGTATTTTGAAGCCTGAAAAATATCATTTGGGAGCCCTCTTTAAGAATATATGTAATTATCTATTTATAATCATTATTTTAATTATATATATGTATAATTTTCAAAAACACATACAAGTGAAAAACAATTTTCATTTATAAAAAGAAATCACAACAAAGTAAAAAAGCTGATAAATATAAAACATATGATCCTTTAAACAATACAGCTAGGGGCCTTTCCAGGAACTCCAAATCTTAAGCTTCGTTAAATACCCAGTAAATACACCTCTGCATATTAGTCTTCTTTAGAACTCTATTTCTAGTATTGGGAGCAGTACTTGAAACATAGCAGATACTCAACCAATATTTTTGAATGAAAGTATCAACTGAGTTATTTACAGTTGTATTTGCATACATTTGACATTGAACAAGTTTTTCACAAGCTAGATTACTAAAACAATATGTTTTATATATTAGATGATGGTTCTTATAATTACAATTTTTAAAATTTTTTACTACAGTCATATTTCAAATACTAGCATACATGTCTGTTAGCATATCATTGAGCTCTATGCAAAAAGTGCATGTACTTCTTTACTGAGTAGAAAAAAATTTGCATCAAAACATACCTTAGGGTGCCTGGGTGGCTCAACCCATTAAGCATCTGCCTTTGGCTCAGGTCATGATCCTGGAGTCCCAGGATTGAGTCCCACATAGAGGTCCTTGCTCCGCAGGGAGTCTGCTGCTCCCTCTGACTCTCTCCCTTCTCATATTCTCTCTCTCTCATTCTCTCTCCCTCAAATAAATAAAATCTTTAAAAAAAAATACCCTGTAATCTTCTACATGTATATATATTTGTGTCTCTATATGTCTCTGTATCTTTATAGATCACATGTATTAAAATTTTAATTTTGAATTACTAAGATTTCGTGTTTTCAGATATCACCACAAACAAACCCTTCAGGGAGAAACCATCTATTTTCTGTTTTCTTTATAGTATGTTTTTATAAACATTTATCTCTGGGATAATAAAGATTCCAGTATTTTATATAAAACAAAAATGCATAAAATGTTTTCTTTGCTATGAATTTGTCCACAAGACATTATTTAAGAGGATATTTGAATTGAGACAGTAACATTGCATTCAAAAGATAAGCTATTTGGCTTAAATCTTTAGTTTGTTAAAATAGAATTAAGTTTAGTTAAGTTCCTTTTATAATAACAATTTAAATGGGCTGAGAGTTGGTGTGCTCCTACCAAGGCTCGTGTGTGTGTGTGTGTGTGTGTGTGTGACAAAGTGCAGCCCTCTGATCAATGCACACTTTTTCCTCCCATTTTCCTAAATACATCATGAAAAAAGGATGAGGTTTCCGCCTTAATTGCTTGTGCCTTTTATTCACATTCCTCTCTCAGCCAGAATTGTGAAAAGAGTGTTAGTAAAAGGCTGCACAATAGAGCTTTTCATTAGGCCCCAGCAAGGCACACAAAAGAAGGCTTTTGGAAAGAGTGAATGCACGAGTTTAATTTGCAGGTGGAGAGTAGATAAAAGGTGCTGACACCTCTATTATTCTCTTACTTAGGTGACCCTTACCCTGTTCAGCTGATCCCAACGACCATGGCAGCTGCTGCCGCAGCAACACCAGGCTTAGGCCCGCTCCAACTGCAGGTAAGTCGGGAAACAATGCAGGAGGGACCAAGGTGAAGTAAATATCGAAAACAGCTATTACCGTGTTAAAGCAGAAAAGAACTGATGAGGGATATGTGCCTCACAATTTTTTGTTTTTGAGTTTCCTTGCACTGATCCTCAACCAAAAGTTGAGATGTTGATCCTTTTAATTTTCAAGAGCCCTGTTTTCTGTACTAAAGGCAGCTTATTGTAATTTTTTATTGCCCACTATGATTTGGCAAAAACAGGTCTAGTTTTGCTTGGATGACTATGTAACAAAATTTCATCCTAGAATGGTCCTCATCAAAATAAGAACAAAAACTGTCCACGATGTGCAAGCAGAGTATTATGAATCCAGGCAACTTAACAAAAATTACATTTAAAAATGTTCGGGACACCCGATATTAGGGACTTTGTAGGTCTTTTTATTCTTCTGCTAATGCCAGTTTCATTGGGCAAGCAAAGATAAGTAAACCAAAAAAGCAAGCACATAGATGAGTGCAACTCTATCCAGACACTCCAATTAAGATCTTTGCTTTGTAGCCCTAAAGAATACATATTCCCATGTATCCAAGAATGTCAGTGGAAAGTTTACTGTAATTTTACCGGATGTCCAAGTGATTTTAGAAATGTTGTCTCTGGAGTTGGAAAGAATATTGATATTATATTAAAGTTATCTTTCATCATTAACTACTTAAATCTTTGAATCAGCATCCTGCAAAATCTTCTGGAGTTTCTGTCATTATGGGCTTCATAGTTGTGCAATTAACAGGAATAAGAGATCATCTAATAATAGAATTAATCTCCCTGTGAGAAGTTTTATATTTTCCTCTGCCTAAAAGATAGTATACCTGTGAATCCAGAAGTAAAGCAGTTATGCTTAATAAACTTAAATTGTATTCATGAAAATGCATTGTCATGATAGATGATCTTAGTCCGTAGGGAAAAATAGAGTTTTATATGTCTGGTCAGCATGGGGGATTATCAGAAGACCTGGTGGGTTTCTGGAAACCCAGTCAAGTCTCACAGGAAGAACGCACAAGGAACTGAGACATGCTGTGTTCTACAGAGGTTAATGACAGTCATTCCTATTCTACCTTTTATGTGAAAAGCTACAAGTGAATGTTTGTTCCTCTGAGCTGGAAATACCTTGGGAAGTGTTAGAGCCATAGGGACAATTAGTGTAGGTTAACATTGGTTATCCCTTGCCGTGGCATCCAGAAATAATGACAATAAGAGGAAAGTGGTTCCGATAGGTAAAACTAAAAAGAGTAGTGAAATTAAAGGAAGTGGCAAGAATATCCAGCAACATATTTGAATGTGGAAATAGGAATTTTAGAGATTTCTGATGTCCGTTTTCAAAGCAAGTTAGACATTCTCGTCTCCTTTCACCCTTAACGGTGAGAGGAAGCAAGTGCAAGTTGGGGGCCTCTCCTATGTTTCATTGTAGGATTCTAGTAGGAAGTAGCTTCAAAAAAAAGAAAAAGAAAAAAAAGAAAGTAGCTTCATTAGGCAACAATCCAAACTTCTTTCCCTATGGAGATAGTATTAAAATATTTGAAAATCTTTCTTTTCCATCCTTATCATATGCCAGATTCCCTTATAAATTTTTTTTCATTTTCAGAAAACAAGAAAGAGACACCACCATAATTTGATCTATAAATAGAATAGAGCTCTTTTTTATGTAAGTGACATTGCATTGTATCCATAAGTGAGTGCCAAAAATATATGGGTTTTAGTTAGGGTCTCAGTAAACCAACACTGTGGTATAACAGGAAAATTAATAATCCAAAACTCTTTTGTGGTAAGCCCTTAGCTACTATTAAAATATATCCACATAAACATACACACACACACACACACACACACGCACGCATGCACATTTTTTGCTCGTGACTTTAAAATGGTACTCAATGCTATTCAAATGCAAACCCATTTCAATAGGCAGACTGTCTGGCTTTTCTTTGAAGTGGACTGACTCTACACTTTGCTAGGACTCCTACACCGACTGACTTTGCCACTCATGTTCCTGACATGAACATGGTCAAATACTCACAGATCCCCCACCTCGACTTCAGCATTCCCCAGAGCTGCAAAGGAGAACTTTAATACTCCCGTTGTTTGCTTCAAGGTGACAATCAAATTTGAATCTTCCCCCACAGACCTACCATTGGTCAGAGACAAGCTAACTACAACATCTAGTCTGAAGGTCTATCTTTACCCTTATCCAACATTTGCCCCAATCTTGCATACCTATTTCTCAGACGTTTCATTTCAGTGAGGTATAATGTTTGAGGCAGTTTTAATTTTCTTCAGACTCTGCTTTTGATTATATTCCATCAGATCCCCATTTGCTATCCCTTAATAATAAAATGAGTAGGCTCCATCACTTCCAGGTCCTTCTCAGTCACTAAGATTCTCTTCTAGTTATTAAGATTTAGTCTTAGATTCTTATGCTAGGTTCTTTGGCAAGGCTTTCATTTCGTTCTTATTTCAGCACCTTATGTTATATACTGATATCTCCATTTGACAAATAAGAAAACTGGGTCACAGAGTCCAAAATCCATGATTTTTAAACAATTATAGTTGCTTCTCCAAGTACAGGAGATTTTAAACTTTGGAGACATTGCCCCTCTTAGGACATTTGCTAGTTCAGTAAAGAGCTAATCAAATTATAACAATAATGCTGATTAATTGGCACTCATACAAATATGCTATATGCATCACAGTGCTGGAAGAAGTAGCCAGATTTATAAGGACTGCTATCTATTTGAGGCAGCATTTTTATTTCATCCGTCTTTACGCAGATCTATGTTAATTCAAGCCTCTCTTTTTGAACATCCAGATCTAAGGAGTGACACTATAAATATATTCCTACTCATCGTTGACTTTGTTTGCCTACTGTTTGTGTTTTCATTTGAAACAATCTTTGACATGTAGTTATTCATACCTGGATAAAATAATGTTAAGTAAAACCAAAAAAACCACGACCTTCCTTAAAGAAAGAATAAAGATGAGTGCAGTTATTTTAAAAGACAAGCAAAATGACGTTTTAAATTAAGCCACTATTTATTACTTAAATATTATCTCACATTCCTGGATAAAAATAATGAAATCCTTGCCATGTCATAAAATATACCTTACATTTTAAAATCACTGTACTTAGGTACCATAGGAGCAGTTAAAGTAGTCTAAGCATTGTGATACAGTTTTATTTTTTATGGAGAAAAAAATAGCTTAATCTGTATTGTGTCTACAAAGCATACAAATTAACATGTGCCAAGGCACCATTTTATTTATTTCTCTTTGAGGTTCTTGGTTGGCTCAGTTGGTAGAGCATGCAACCCCTGATCTCAGAGATGTGAGTTCAAGCCCCATGTTGGGCGTAGAGCTTACTTTAAAAAGTATATAAAATAAAAATTGATTTGACAATAAAATATCTGTTTCTTTGCTGTTCAGTCTTTCCTGAGACTCCAATTCATACAGACAACTATTTGCTGGCTGTCAAGAGGAAATATGTAGGTGTTTACAGACAGTATATACTGAGTACAAAATGCAACTTACCAGTTCTTGTTCTTGCCCCTAGACCTGCTCATTCTCTGGTCGCAGCAAATGACTCCGTTCCATCTACTGCTCGACCTGGAACCATAAGAGCTATTATCCTTTTCTCCTCTTCCTCCACACCTATTCTTTCACTCTCTTTTCACTCCACCTAATAAATACGTTAAGGAGCCATCCATTTCTTTCCATCCTAACTAGTATCCTTCTGGTCAGGCTGGCTACCTCCCTGCTTGCCTGATTTACCACACTAGCCCCTGAACTGCTCTTCTGTCTTCCTCTGCCCCTCTCTGATGCTTTCTCTACTCTACATTAGTCAGAATGAGCTTTCTGATTTTAGAAAATCTGATCATGTCCTTCTCCTATTTGAAGAACCTTAGATGATTCCCTGGTGTTTTCAAGTTTTCTGGATCTTTGCATGTGGTGTTTCCTCTTTCTGGAATGCCATCACCCACCACCTTTACCAAGCCAACTGCGATTTCCCTGAGGTTGCAACTTAAAACATCACTTTTTAAAAGAATACTTCACTGTCCCCAAGTCTAGATTAACAAGACATCAAAGGCATCATTAGCTCATGGAAGACAAAAAAAAAATTAGTAGTTTGAATTCAATAAGATATCCAAATTGAAATTTTTACCTATTCTAATGTAATGAAATAAACTTAGGAAAACCCTATATGCCTAATACCATGTTTAGCACTATAGTATTTTCTTTACTTGTATTTAAAGAAATATTTTTATAATAGTTTTACTCCATACCACCTCATTCAGTCTGCTCCGGCTGCCCTAAACTCTGCTGCCCCTTGACCTGCCGACGTGTGCTCCCAGTTTAGAGCTTTATATTAGCTGTCCTTCTACCTGAAACACTCTTCCCTCTGCAATGGAAGCTCATTCTTGCGCCTCATTCAAGAATTTGCTTTAATGTCTTCTCTCGGAAGCCTACCCTAACTAACCCGTTTAATTCACAAAGTAACCCTCCCAGAGATACCACATTATCTATTTCCCTTATTCGCCTTTTCATCATTGTTGTTGTTGTTATTTTTTCCTATAGGACTTGTCATCTTCAAACATAGTATCTAACTTATTATGTTGTCTGTCTGTTCCAGATATTCTCTAAGGGTCACCAGAGCAGGGACTGCCATTTTTCTTATTGTTGTTCAATATCATATCTCAAGTGCTCAGATTAATGCCTAGCAAGTAGTTGCTGCTCAGTATTACATACAAAATGCAGGAAACTATCATGAACTAACGGTCATAATCATTTTTAATAAGATAACAAAGCAGTGTGTCATTAATTTCTGGGACAAGTGATACTCATTTAAAGACCTGGGAACTTTATATTCTTCAGCCCCTCCTGGAAGATTCTTAGTATATGAGAAATCTCTAGGTCTATCTCTCCTGTGCTAGCTTCCCTTTATCTCATTATGCCTATGGGCTGCTGCA